CCTCAGAGCCTGCGCCGACGGGCCTCGCCTGTGTCCTCCCCAGGACAGCGCTCTGTCCTGGATTGTGGATCGTTAGCTTACAGCAGACTCACCAGGGGGAGATGACTAAGAAAGTGGGCTTCCGTGGCCAGTGGCTCCCCGGGGCAGCCGCCATGCTGCAGCTGGCCTTGGCCAGGAGGGGCAGGGAGGGGGCTCTTAAGAACGTTTGCGCTTTTTTTGGTGCTGTGGGGAGCTTTATAATGTAGGGAAAAAAAGTTACTTGAACTGAAGAAGGGTGTCCTTAAATTGCTGTGAGGGAGTGGTGATTCATTTCCAGTTGTAGTATATCTAGGTTTAGCTTGTTCAAAATAAACAGTTCTTACTGTAATGTTTAAATACTAGAAATAAATATCCCAGTATAAGATTATTTTCTTCCAGAGCTTGGGTCATGGACTTTTTGTTCTGATGTCAGTGCTTAGAAAGTGTTGGTTTATGAAAGCAGTGAGAACATCAGCTGTCCCGGACTGCAGATTATCGTGTGGACTGGGCCTCCCTGGTGGCGGAGGGGTGTAACTTCAGCACGTGCAGCTGGCTGCAGCTGCTTCAGCGTGAGTTCTGTCCCCAGCCAGGGAGGGACCCACAGGGGGCAGCAGACCTCGCCTGGGCCCCAAGGACCCCTTCAGTAGGGCCTGTTCTGCTCCCCACTTGGTCTCTGGTGAATTCTGTCACTGTCCTTGCACTTCTGGCCTGTATCCCAGTTCTCTGTGCATAAAAAAAAATTTTTAAAAAAAAAACCCACAATGGGTCTCCACCTTGAGGACAGCAGGACAGATCTGCGTTTGGAAGAACAGAGCGCTGTCCAGGGGAGGACACAGGTGAGGCCCTGTCCGCGCAGGCTCTGAGGCAGGCTTGTTGCTGAAACCTTGTTTACAGTTGTCAGAAATACCAGGGCGCCCTGGTGGTGCAGGGGTTAAGTTGCAGCACTGAAGCTGGCCACAGCCCCTTCAACGCAAGTTCTGTCCCCCGCTGGGGAGGGACCCCAGGGCCCAGTAGACACCCCCCCCCACTCCCCTCAGCCGTGTACTTGGTCAGTCGGCCTGTTCTGCTCCCCACTCTGTCTCTGGTGAATCCTTTTGCCTTCCTGCACCTCTGGCCTGCACCCCACTTCTTGTGTGTGTGTAAAGAAGTGAATCTTTGAAGAGAAAGAAACATTGGGTGGGGCAGATTTCAAGAAGGCTGCTGGCACTTGGGGAGCATGCAGGAGTGGCTGTTAGGGAAGGACGCTGGACAGCGTTCCTACCTTTAAAGCGTTCAAGCTTCAAATAGGATTCTCTTGGGGTTCTTTTTTTGATTTGTGCAGCTGTCGTGCTCGTGACTGTATCCATAGGAACATAAGCAGGATAGCACGAGTTTGTAACTTGCTGCGAAGCAGGTCTGGCTTGGGATGTGTTAAGATTTTTTCATTAAGATGTGCGGCTACTTTACCTTCTGCTGGTGAAGGTGGCCGAGCACAGCCGCTCGGAACAGCAGCTGCGATGTGCATAAGCCCTGACAGTAGGACGGACGGGTCGTGCTCTTGGATCATTGAATGCGAAATGGAAAACATTACGAGCTTTAAAAATTAGCTGAAGTAACCGTGGCTTCAGGTGTGGGTAGTAGAGGGGAAGCGGCCCCAGAGCACGCCTCAGGCTCGGGACGGTGTGTGGCGTAGGTTGGCCTGAGTTCCGGACGGGCCAGCTGAGGGAGCCCACGAGACCGAGGTATCTGCTCCTAATTAGGTGCTGATTTTATTTAATTCAGAATTTGAATAGGTGATGTGTCACTGGCGTGGTGACGGCATCTCCGGGCGCTCCCAGGGCTGTGCGATCGGTGTCTCAGCTGCGTCCTCCAAGTCTCACCCCGTGACTGCATCCGCACTGCCCCTGTGGCCGGTTGTGAGGTGCCGCCTGTGTTTCTGCGTGCCAGCTGCTGGGAGCCGGGAGGCTCGGAGCCCAGCCCCCTCGCAGGCAGGTTGGGCCCGCTGGTGCGCTCTGCAGTGCCTGTCAGATAGCTGAGGTGGTGCCAGACCAGAGCAGTCGGTGTGCCCATCGGGGCAGTCAGCTGAAGTGGGAAGGCAGGCGCCCCGGAGTATAAGTGGAGCTTCAGCCAGCGTCAGGTCAGTCAGATTGGTCTGGACTCTCTTGGAAGACCTTTGCTGAGTGGTCACGCTGTCCCTGTCTCTGAGAGAGCTGTTCGCACTTGGCTTTGTGTCTGGCATCTCCAGGAGCAGTGCTTCTGTTCCTTGCTTCCGAAGCGTCCAGCACAAACCCCTGGTGCTGTTTTTTATTTTTTTTAATTTTAAAAAGGTTTTATTTATGCACACAAGAACTGGGGTGTAGGCCAGAGCTGCAGGGAGGGAGGGTGAGAGGACTCCCCAGAGCAGAACAGGCAGATCCACCGAGATACACTGTTGAGGGGTCAGCGGAGGACAGGAGGGTCTGCTGCGCTCTGTGGTCACTCCCTGGCCGGGATCAAACTCAAGCTGCAGTGGCTGCCAGTAGCTTTACAGTCTGAGACTCAACCTGCACCACCAGGGAGGCCCTGGGGCTGCCATTTTGGGCGCTGACTTGCCATTTTGGGTGTCCGGTGCCGCTCATCGTGGCTGTGGAACTGCTGTTGCTGACAGCTGTGCCGCCGTGACCGCGGGCGTGGCGACACCCTGTGTCTGAGCGCTCCCACACCCTGCTGCCCGACTGCCGCTGCCTCTGGCCCGGTCTCTTTCCTCTCTCGCCCCTTTGTACGTAAACCCAGCTGCTGCTGAACCCGGAGCCTGTGGTCAGCGAGTGGAACGGGCTCAGGAGCCCCTTCTGTGCCTGCCGCTGTGCTGGCCCGAGGCCTAGATCAGCTAGGCAGCCCGCTGGGAGTTCGTGCTTCCTGTCCTCGGGGATGCGCTCCCAGAAAGCAGGTACCTTGCTTGACCTCAGCTCCACCTGTTCCCACGGCTGGGGACCGGCCAGGGTCCGAGCGGCTGGACTGGGACCTGTGCCAGCTCCGTCAGGCTGTGCACTCAGCAGGGCACCCCACGGTCTGGGCTGTGTGAGCTGCTGCCCTGGAGCGCACAGCTCAGCTCCCCCTTCCCCTCCTTCCCTGTTCCCACCAGACACCTCTCCGGGGGGCGGGGCAGGCTGAGCAGGTGCAGAGGCCCAGCCCCTCAGTGTCCTGGAAGGCTTTGTTGGGTGTGGCGGCCCCAGGGCCAGGGCTGCGGTGGTTTGGGCCTTCTGCAGCTACTGTTGTGTGGTGGCCGTAGGGCCTCTGTGAGGGTTCTCAGTCCTGCCTGTCTTGGGTTGAGGTTGAGCTTGCTGCACACCGGTGAGCGCCTGCATAGTGTGGGTGGAGGCTGCGGCGGCGTGGGTCAGGCGCCCCGGGAAGGCCAAGGCCACGTGCCGCCTGCGTCTGCCAGCTCTTTGTAGCCAGCGGTCCACCTGCAGGGAGGGGCGGCCGGGCAGGAGGCGCACAGATTGGGTTTGGCAAAGCCTTGGGTGAGGGACAGCACAGGCCCAGGAACTGTCTGGGGATGTCATGGGTGTCTTGGAAAGCAAAGAAGGGCGCGCAGCCCGCGGCCGCCACAGGGCTCTGCTGTGGCTTGCGGCGTGGGTGGTGGGCGTGCCGCTCCGGCGCGAGGCCTGGCGCTGCTGACGGCGCTGGCCTGGAGACGGCGCTGGCCGGCGTGTCCGAGCACTTGACTGCCACCGTCTCCTTAGAGAACTGTCTGTTGAAGTCTTTGACCTGTCTTTAAGTTCTTTTAAATGAAATCTAAACAGATGATACTCTCTCTTTTTAAAAAATTTTTAATTGTTTTTACAAATGTTTGTGCATTTTTCCATCTCAGCTGCAATCTGGGTTTCCAGATGATACTCTCTTTGATGATCACGACGTAGAAACGTCTGCATAACAGAAATGTCTGTGAGCAGAATACACACCCGTGTGGGCAAACCCTAGGAAGCTAATCGGCTCCCTGCAGTTTCCCAGGTCTCCACGCAGCACACCTGCAAGCCGGCGGTGTGCTCAGCGTTCAGCCGCAGGCGAGCACGCCCCGGACAGCCCGCCGGCGCTGCCGGACAGTCCTCCTCTAGGCCCTCTGGCCCTCTGCTCGCCTTCCAGCCGCCTGACGTGCCAGTGACTTGACAGCTGCAGCGGGAGGGCGCTTCTTTAAGGGTTTGGCGTCCCGTTGCGCGCCCACTCGGCCCGCGAGGCGGGCATCTGCTGGCACGGGGGCGAGGGGCCTGTGGGCCCGTGCCCGCCGGCATACTATTGGATGGCGTTGTTTTTTTTTTTTTTTGATGTTGGGTTTAGGCATTCTCCGTGTGGTTGGGATTTTTAAAAAAGATAATAGTTTTATTTATTTATGCGCATGAGCTGGGGTGCAGGCCAAGGTGCGGGGGGGGGGGGGCGGGCTAGGGGATTCACCAGAGACAGAGCGGGGAGCAGCACAGGCCTGATGGGCTGAAATCCACATCTGAGGGGGCAAAGGGGAGACAGGAGAGGCCTGTTGTAACCGGAGGTCACCCCCAAGCTGCAGTATCTGCAATAGCTCCATAGTGCTGAGACTCACCCCTGCGCCCCGGGAGGGCCTCTCTGGTGAAGTTTCAAGAACCTTTTGGACTCCTGTTGTCATGTCACCAGAAGGCTTCTCTGGCAGAGAAGGCTCTGGCGTTCACGCGGAGAATCCTACTGAACGGAATTTCTGAGCAGCTTGGCACGCGTCCTTTCCCCTTTGGGTGTCCCATGTCTGATCTCTGGGCGGCTGGAGCCCTCCTGCCAAGGTCCGTCCTGACGCTGCCCTCTGCTGGCCACATGGCCTGTTTAGTTTCCTCACCTAGCAACTGAGGCTAATAACCTGCCGACCGTGTGTATAACTACATGTTAACTAAGTAGACAGTAAAGTAGGAAAACTAGAGGTGCTTTGGCGGACTCCGAGACAGACAGACAGACCCCCGCCCCTTGCTGATGCGTGTGTGAGCCGCCTTCAGTGCCTAGCGGTCATGGCGTCGTGTGACGGGCTGCAGAAGACCAGCATAGTGGTGGTATCGCTGCTTTTTGTGTTTGTTAAATTATAAAGAGACTTTTCTTTATTTTTTTCCAAGCCAAGCTAGCAAGACGCAGTCAAGAACGAGACAATCTTGGCATGCTGGTCTGGTCACCGAATCAGAACTTGTCAGAAGCAAAACGTAAGTTATTTTTCATCTTTCCTATTTAAAGTGAAGTTTTTAAATCACTGTAGCCAGAAGTTGGTTTGTATTTTTAAAATATCCATCTAATGAATAATTTGAGAAGTTTGAGAGTACGTTTCTGTCTATACTGTGGCCTGTCACGTGGTTTGAAGATTGGCTAAGAATCACTGGCCACGCGGTGCCTCCCTCTGCCACCCAGGGCCCTCGCAGCCAACTCGGGGCGCGCACTGAGCAGGGCGCACCCCATGAGACTGCAGCGAGTGCAGGGCACCTTTCGAACCAGCTCTGGGTTTTATGTGATGAACGGTCCCAGCTGCCTTGGGCTTCATACCCGGGGCCAGGAGTCCTGGGGTTGGTGGTGGTGTTGATTGTGTGTTCAGCTGTGCTTTAGCGCTGGGTTTTGTCCTCTGTCCACGTGGTACCAGATAGGAATAGTTTTATGTCCGGCATGTTACTATTAGTCTTCATTAATTTCAAAGTTTTAATTTTTTTCATGATGTAAGTGAAGGAAAATCCAATCCCTCTTTGGAGAGTGTTTCGTTGAGAGTCCATGGTCAGAATTTAGAGGGCTCGTGCACTTGGCGATCACATGCAGAGCTTTGAGGGCATATGTGTGGGTTTCCAGAGGGGCGCACTGGCCTTCCAGAGGGGCCGGGGGCAGAGGGGGTCGGGAGCCCCTCTCTAGCCACGGGGCGGACTGAGCCAGCGGCTGGGGCCAGTGCCCGCTCGCCACGGCCAGGAGCCAAGAGGGGCGCCACTGGGCTGTGACGAGTCCAGGCGGACCCGGTGTCCACCGATGCGATGCGCCTTAATGCGCGCCTCGGTCCGGCGCGAGCTGCTGACGGCGCAGGCTCAGTGGGAGACACGTGCTCGCTCCGGCCAGAGGACGCCGTTTGCACAAAACCCACGGACGGAACTGGGGAGCTCGGCGACTCAGAGTCGGCGTGAGCGACGCTGGAGAGTCTCCCCGACCGGGCGTTGTGGCATCTTGCCTTGCCTCCGTTGAGGCAGAGGGCCAGAGGCTGGCCTTGGCTCGGGTGCCGGGAGACCGTTGGGTGCTTCCGCGCGTCTCCCCCTCTTGAGCGCTCACAGTGACTTCAGCAGCCGTTTGTTCCGCTTTTGAACGTGTTCTTCTGCAGGAGCTGAAGAAAATCTTGTCTCCTGTAACCTGTGAAGCCTCGCTCCTGAGCTCCACCCGCCAACGCGCTCTCCCAGCCTTTGTGCTGCGCCCCGGGCGACTTCTTGCCTGTTGGGCTGTGAAGCTACCACAGGATAGCGAGAGGGGTGCCCCCGCACAGCCTGTGCCCCCCGGCACGCCCGCTGCCTGGAGGGGCCCCACACCCGCTGCCCGGAGGGGCCCCACACCCGCTGCCCGGAGGGGC